GTAGAGGTAGCTGCAGCATAAAAACAGCCGACGGTTCGGTCACCATTTAGGGGAGTTGTATTTCTGTATTAATCTAAAACCGAGCAATCTTGGATAGGCGTCAAAGATAAAGCAGTACGAAGATTTGTACCCTGAAGCGTAACAAAATAAAATAGTTCCAAGTTTGCTCAGACACCAGGATTCAGAATGAATTTAACAAAATCTCAGCTTTTGGGATATCAGAACATCCTGTGAAATGAAATAGTTCCAAGTTTGCTCAGACACCAGGATTCAGAATGAATTTAACAAAATGTCAGCTTTTGGGATATCAGAACATCCTGTGAAATGAAATGAGGCCTAAAATGTTCCCAAATTTTGCGATCTAGACTTGTTAGTGTACGGTCCAAAAAGAAACAGACTGGTTGTGAACTGGGAACATTAGGATCACTCACCATGCAGGTCTAAACGGACAACTTCGGTGCTCTTGGTAGTTCAGTTGATTGCCAACCCGAGGCCACATTCGAGCGTGAAAACGTACGTTTCAGAGATCCAAGTGGTTCTACGTTAAGCAGAGGTTTGAAAACGGTGGCGCATCACAACACTGAAGTATGGTTCCCCGCCTGCCTATGTGCCACATGAGTCCTGTTAATCAAGCTAATATGTTGCCAAGCTGTCACTCCTACCTTTCACTAATGTACTATCAATTAGATCGTTGCTCACGGGTACTTGAAACGATGTTGATTCCAGACAACTGTGACCTAAACTGCTCAGTTGCAGATGTATTCGTATTTGTTTGGTGTGGCAGCTGCCGCCGGTCTGAGAAGTTTGAGCCGGAATATTTTTCCTGCTTTACTGCGCAAACCATACAAATGGAACGGGTGAGCACAACGGGCTTCAACTTTGCGACATCACCAGCACGTCGAGCTAGCCTTTGTATGGACTACTTCAAAGTGTTTAAATATATTAAGGCTACGTGTATCATCTATTTCTGATAGTGATTCGTCACTTCTACCGTTGAGTGGGCTCAAGTAGAGGAAAGTAAGATACGGGTCGGAACATGTTAGTAATCCATTCACAGCTTAGCTAGCTTGTCAGAACTCGAGGATAATGTTCCGAAATGCAGAAGATTTATTTAAGGAATATCTTGCATGAACCAAATCCGTGACTTACTGGTGGCTGCATGCATTGTGAAGTACTGGGTACACAATGTATTGAAGAGCTTTTTCAGCCAATTGAAGAGTTGCACACAATATGTCACTGTGCAATTTTTGCCCTAATGTACAATCATATTATCGAGCACTATATTGCGGCAAACATGTGGACGAGAATGACGATAAAGTTCTTCGAATCCACTCCGACAAGTTCACCCACATAAGGGGCATAACTCAAATAATTGGTTCGGGTTGTGGAAAAATTCCATCTCGGGTTTTCACACTCTTCCTGGTGCCCCTGAGCACCAATACTTGCCTATCGGGCAAATATCAGAGCAGATTTTGGTTGCATGAAGATAACTTCACGAAATGTTTCGGAAACTTTGTGCTACTTCCAGCGTCTACTGAATGATCGTTAGGAGTTGGTGCCCCCCTTGCCACTAAGGTTGCCTAACCCATGGTTTTTTGAAAGGTGAAGTGCACAGTGTTGCTTGACAATATTATGTTAATCAACACTAGAATCCTAACAAAAATACTTTGGACTTCTTGGATTTCCACTTTCCGTCAACATACTGGACAAAGGTTCGAATACCGGATGTTACGTGAAGATGGGAAAAACGACTATCTGAATGGCATGGAGATTTCAAACTGTTCTAAATCCCCAGGCCAGTATTCGAGTCAGAATGCAGGCTTCATGCATAGAAAGGTGTTTTGTCGGTATATTTGCGGTGACTTTGACAAATCTTGGCGCTTCTGCACACTGGTGAAGCACAGGTCGAGCCATGAGAGTGATTGAAACCAGTTCGGTGGTTTTGGTGGATCAGACCGAAATTCGAAGTAGTCATGCTGGTTGCCGCTAGGTGAGTACGTAAATAAATATTAGTGGATAAATTCGGCAAGAACTGATCAGCTTTGTCTAACTGTTGTAACTGGTAATGTGGTGAAATATTGGTAGCTCGGGTGAGTTTATTGGTTGTTGATCAGATGGCTGTTGATCTGTTCGCCGAGCTTGGCAATTGGCTTGCAAACGTTTCGTCACCATACGAGGAGACATCATCAGTGCGCAGTTGGGTGGGTACTTCTTCCTTGCCTGCGTGTGTTTATATAGCAGTCAAACTGTAACTGTTTACACGTGTAAAAGAGGCACGCCTACAGTTAACTCAAGCTTACCTTCGCATGACCTTATCACCACTGCATCAAGCTTCACGAACTGGGCAAACAGAGAAGCGCATATTGTGGGATGAATGAATGGCGGACAACCAGTTTTGAGAGGTTTGTTACTGCGACAGATGCAAGGCACATTGTAACCATTGTGGCCTCTATGGTGTGGAGAATATGGTCAGAATCAGACCACATGTCGGGCGAGTCCTCTGACTACTGAGCTAGACTATTTATAGAATTTGGTCATGACAGGAGACTAAACCAAATCCAGCTGATTCTCTTATTTATGAAACGGACTATCATAAACATGGAGATTCGGCCGGGATCCAGTTGAATCTACGGTTAAAGTTAAATTAGTTTGTAAATGAGAGTAATTTTCAGGCTCTGTCCTATTTGGGTTCAAGTAGAACACACGGTCGAGGGGACCTCGGGAACTTCGCCTACCTGATAAGCCCTGAAGAAGGTGATGTCGGTCGTGAGCCGTCACAATTTTTCAGCAACCTTGTGAGTAGTGTGTTACGTGTAGGTAGTATAGTGTGGTCCCGATAAACACCCTCATTTCCAAATCAGTCTGATTTTCACGGGAGACTCAAGTGAATATTTCGTTTATGATATTCTTCAACTGAATGTGCTGCACACAGGCCGCCTCATGTTTCAGTTGATACGATATTCGAGATATCACAGTGTGTTTTCATAAAGGAAGCTACTCACAAGGTTGCTGAAAACTCTCCGATGGAAACTCGGGGACTGCGCCTACCTGATGAGCCCCAAGGAGGGCGAAGCCGGTCATGGGTTGTCGAAGTGTCTTCCGCAACCGCGTGAGTAGTTTCTTTTATGAAAAGTATACTGTGATGTTTTCGAACAATCGCTGTTGCAATTCTCGGGGAACATTACACCTCGTAGAACGCAGAGTTACCACGTTCTCGTGCAATATAGGTAAAAACTTGTCACTGATAACACTCTCCTTTATCCAACTAACTATTCATGAGGCAGTAGGCAGCACCTGTGATGAGGGACAATTCGTTTTGCGATTATCTTCAGCGGATCTAAGGTGTGGTACAATACCATACAGCATCCAACATTTGACCCAGTATTTCACTCAAGGTTTTCATCAGTCTGTGCCACAAATCATCCTCAGGACTAGTGAGAGGTGACCAACCAAGAAGGGGTCATATTCCTGCAAAGCAAGAACGCATGTTAGACACAATGTACAGGCTTGTCGCTTTAAATCTGGGTATTAGGGATCATACTTGAAAGCGCACAAAACGAGCCACTTCTATGTGCTACTGCCGTTTACATGGGGATTTCGTCCTTAACTAAATCGTCTCATTCTAGCACTGTCTGTTCGGCGAAGGCGATCTAGGCATCTGTAATTACAAGTCGGGAATTGTGAAAGCTAAGTGCGTAGCAAAGCGAAAACTACACTGTAACCAAGGGTTCCTTGAAGAGACACTACCATAACACTGGGAACACTGAGATGACTTTTAGAGCACTCAGTTGTTTCATTTTGGAGCTTTACTCATGTGGTAAACGTATGTGGCGTGAATGCGTCAGCTACAATGATAATGAACACATGCCGTCAGGTGACCGGTGCGATCTTCCTTCCGCGATTGCCTCAGTTTGTAGCTAATGTTCATCACCGTCACCATACACAGCAACACTAGGGTTTACACTGTTGCGTCACTGCTCTGCGTCAGCTGGAAACAAATTTACAAGGCGACGATTCGGAATAGATGGAAACAATCATGATACAGTTTGACAACTTGTCTACACTTCAGTGATTTCTGGTGTACCTGTTTCCTATAACTCCATTTTTAACTGTTCAGTAAACGCGCCGCGGAAAAAAAATTGGGGAACCTATGTGTTTTACCGTAGCCCTAAAGGTAGTGAGTGATTTTCGTTTAGCAGGTTATTGTACTGTCGAAAAACAGGATTTAACTGGCTCAGGTACATAAAACCATGGAAGACCACCTCGGTATGGTGTCGACTTGAACGACCTTTCAAAGACCTACTTCAGTCTTATGACATCGGAACTATTGAAATTCCTTTTTTCATGGTTTTGTTTAATGTCTGGCTGATAGTTTGACTTCCTTCATCTTTGTTTCAGAATCCACAGATGTATCTCCTTGACAAACAAGACACCCATCCGATGAACATTATTAGCTGATAATCGCGCACTTTCTGGGCACATGACTGTGCTTTAGATGGCCCAGTGCTTAGGGCGCGAATTTGCTGGCCGGAAGATCCGTGGTTCGAACCCGACCTCTGTGTCTGGACTTTCCCTGTCTAGGCTTGGGCGACCTGGCAGTATCTCAGCCCTCGTGCTTCTTTCTGGCAGTTAGGCACCGAACGGTTGCTACAGCGGAAGGATACTGTGCTTCCGTAGCAGGAACCTGAAATGAAATTTCAGTCGACCTCCGTTTTCGCAGAAGTGGCGCTTTCTCGAGAAAAACAACTTTCAGAAACCGGAGCAGTAAGTTCCATCGCTCGCAAGAACCAGTTTTTTTCCAGAGTTTTGTAGAATATATAGGCGGTTCCTAAACACCTTTTCCCCTGAAAACAGATATTGGTCTGCTTGCCACACTTCGATCCAAGTTCTGGTTGCTTCACTATCTAAAGCTGTTTTGATCTGTGTGCGGGCTTTTCAAAACCTGTTGGAATGCAGTAGATTGATAGCGTCCGGTTAACTATTCTTAGTTTGCCGAGTTTGTGCACCCGTACACACAACGTAAACAGATTTTCACCACTGATCGATTATGTGCTCGTGTTCAGCTGTGCGCCTGCACCGAAACTTGTGCCGCTATCAATTATTCCACCGAACATGGTTGGGCCTACAAGCGCGTGTTGTGCACATTTGACGGAACAATTTTCTATGCATTGTGACAGTGAACTTCTCTGATAAAAATAATGGTTCGTTTGGTTTTCTAAGCAGTTGGAAGAGAATCGTGTGGTGGGACGTAGTTTGATGGAGTGCACTGATTGCCGAAAATATGCAAACGGATGCTCAGCTATCGGCTAGGCGTTCGAGCAACATATGCGTTCTATGCAGTGCTTTTTTAGAGAGGAATCCTCGGTCCACATCTTTTTGCTAATTAACTCTCTTTAGGAGCATGAGGGTCGACCACAAATAAACTTATCCATACCTATTGGGCCACAAACTCTCCAGCTATTTAGTTTTGGCCAATCACATCGAAACAACATCAGTCGACTGAGTTTTACTCATAACAGAGCTACGGCGATGCTTTTTTGTAAGACAACTAGCCACCTTACTAACTCACCCTGAATCGGGCTTGGGTAATGTTTGAATGAAGCAGAGCACTTTAGTAGTTTACTCAGTGATTCCTAATGTAATTATTTCGATGGTCATTGATCTATTCGATTCACCATGGTTTAAATTACTTCTTCCCAGACAGTCGTTGATGTTTTGATGCGCCAAATTCAACCATGTTAATCCTCCTGCAATCTACGTGTCGCCTGTAGTTATGCGATCACCACCGACTCGATGCTGAGTTTAGCCCGAGCCATCCTTCCAAACTTTCGTGCCATTGATTTGGCAAAGGGGTATGAAAGAGATTGCTAAACGTTTGGGTGCTTAGGTGCTATTCGCCTCTAGGATGGGGGTGACCCTCACTGTGCCTGGTTGGAGACACTACAGGATATGGCTGCCAACCGATGTCAGTGGCGTTCTTGTTGTCAGTAACTATCCAGATTGCCTGAATGAATGTCTGGAGGTGTAGGCACCTCGGAATGATTATAGTAAGCTAGCACTAAGCCCTTGCCCGTCCACCTTTACTCTTTTCTTCACAATAAGGCTTTCAAAAAAATCATGGTTGTACGGCAGTGAAGCATCGGTGACACTGACTGATGTCATACTGCTGATGATGGAGATCAGGTAAGGCGGTTCTATACTTATGGTATGGCGGTTCTATACTTAGCTGTATATATGAAGTAGACATCGTCTTGTTTCGGTCAACAAATTCCCAACAAATTCTAACAAATGCAGGCCATCGTGAACATGTCAGCCCACGGTGAAGCATCGAAGTATCGGTGGCTGAGGTGCGTTATGCCAAAGTCCGAAGCCATATAGGTCGTCACACACAATAGTTCCAAAGCACGCCTCAGTCCTTGGCTATAATTTGGTTCGTTCTTGCACGAAAAAGTGATAGTGGGGAACTTCGAGCCATAATATTAAAGTTTTCCATCTCCATTTGTGCCTCTCAACGATGGATGTCATTGGAACCGGGCAAAATCGTTCGTTGTTTGGAGATCTTCATCATTCGGGGTGGCTTTTACGATTATATTGTAGTGCGTTTTCAGCGGAGCATTCATTTAGTTCCAAGATTGCACGGCTGAGTTGACCGATTTTACCAAATAACTCTTCGATCTCCAACGTTCTGGAACTTTGATTTATAGAGACAATGATCGCGGAAATCGCACACTAAATCCTAGTTGCTAGGGCGGTGTTGTGAAGGACTTACCAGAGTAGTAGCCTCTCTTAATGCATCAGTTCCACAAGTGAATATATATATATATATATATATATA